GGGGCGAGGCGGCGGCCTTGCAGCGCAGAGCTGTTGACATCGCAAAAGCCGCTGCCCCGACCTGGCACCGTCGCCAGCTGCTTTGGCAGAGAAGCGAAGAGGCGCGGCCTCCGGGCTTGGGAAAGTTGTGTCCCCGCCGGTCACGTACCACCGATCTGGTGTTCCGAGCCGGTAGCGGGCACTGCCGACCACCTGCACCCTGCTCTTGCGGGGGTCTCTTCTCCAGCGCCTGCCCGGTGCTCGCTTCTCATATTCGGGAAAGCTGCCCAGGGTTTCCCTCCACAAGTACTTTCCCTCCACCTGCAATTTTCTTACTGGTGGGAGAAGCAGGACTTGCGTGTTTGTCAGAGCCTGGTCAGAGCTGTCACTCCTGCCTTCAGAGGTCTGTGACAACTGGCGTTGTCGTCTGCGCGTTATGTACATGCGGCGCGCAGAGGAGGACGAGTGTGCCCGAAGCGTGGGCCGCTGGCTGCGCTGCTGCTGTCAGGGCAATTCCTGGATGCACAGCGGGTCTGACACATTCAGATTGGCAGTGCTGATGTCAAATCTGCTAGTAACGCTTTCAGCATTGAAAATACCTGTTTGTGAGAAATGTCCATCTTATTTTCTCTGTTCCCTTACCTTGGAAGCCTCAAAAGGGCAAACATTAAGTGACAGGCCAAACTAAATGCTAATGTACAGGAAGAACCATCATAGTATGGCTCCGTAGTCCTGTCTGGTGGTGTGAACAGCTTTAACCGTATGCTGAAGGCATGGCGCAATGCTGTCATGTGAGGGCAAATTAAGGAAGCCACGCACATTTCAATTTCTTGGCCGCTTCCAAATGCGCAGGCACTTCTACTTCAGCTTTGGTGCGTACGTGGGACATAGCAGGATTACAGCTGTGTCAGTAAGTTAAAAAAGCAGCTAGTGTACTTGAAACTTGCGGCCCTCACTGCAGGCGGAGTGGCATGGTTTGAAGCTTTCTCAGTGCCGAGTCCTCTTTGCACCCCCAAATTTTAATGTTACCAAGTCTTGCTGTTAAATGAAGCTGGTTGTGGGGTGGGTAGGATTTTCACGAGGTGTTAGGAGTGCCTGTGTGTGTGTGTGTGAATAAATTGCTTTCTTCTTCCCTAGTCGGTTCTTTTTTCTTCCCCTGCTGTACCTCCAGGTGATCTTTGTGAGGGCAAAAGCCTTCTCCTGAGATGCTTTGCGCCACAGAGGTACCTGTGCTGTGAAGAAGTGCAGGCAGCCTTGTCCCCTCCCAAACCCTTTGCTTGTTCAGGGGCTCACCAGCCCCACATGCGCACTGCCGCAGGTGCTTTGTTGGAAGGGAGACAAGTGTCATTTGGGAGTGGAAGAGAGCACGCCGCGGCCTGCCGCCAGCCCTTCTTTCCCTCTCACAGGGCTCTGGTGGTGGGGTACGGTGTGGTGACAGCTCATACTGCTGGTCCTCTGCTGGGGTGTCCTTGCTGACCCTGTTCTGTGAGAAGCCCTGGATGCACACCCCACTGGCACTCCAGTGATGGGTGGAGCAGGACCCATGGCCAAGGGCACCCTGGGGCCTCTTTCTCCCCCCAGGATCTAGGCACAGCCACAGCACTAACTGCTGTGTTTGGATTAAAATGCAAAACTTACCTTTGCTATTTCACTTCTCTTCAGTAGTTCGGTGGCAGGCAGCTTTCAGGTCTCAAAACAGAAGCAAGTAGGCAGACGGAAAGCTCCTTGCAGACTAATCAAGTGGCTTCTCCTGTGGGATAAAGGGGAACGATGGAGCTGGGTGGAAGAGTGTGTGATTTTTCTTCCCAAACACCTGGCAGGTGCTCCAAGATGACACTGCTTGGCTTGTGACACTAGTGGTTTGCAAGAAGCTGTAGCAGTGCAGAGTGTAACTTTGAACTTTTTCTTACTTTGGATTGCAACTTCTCTACCATTTATTTTGCATTTCTGTATGTGACTGCAAGAGAGTGAGAGAAGGCAAACGTTCACACCATCTCCAAAGGGAGCATCTTTGTTGATTCACGTAGTGGCTGTACATGAATCTTGTGTAAATCTACATAGAGCTTTACAAGTTGGAGTGCAGAAAATATGTAATGGCATCCTTAGCATCGATCACCTTCTCCCACGTAAAATTTATTGTGAAATTCATCACGCAGAATTTTTTAGGGACTTAACTTCAGAGATGCTGGGAGTAGCAGGGGCAGGGAGCATATGTTCGCTGGGCATGAAGAGCAGCAACACAAGAAGATGGAGAGGTCTGTGGCCGTGTAGAGGGTGAGTCTCAGTGGTGACAGCAGAAATGCCAAGCAGAAAAGGCAGGAAGGCGCTGCTCTCGGGTAGGGTGCTCAGTCCCCAAGGGGGACCTCCTGGTCCTTCAGCGATCCTTTTTCTTCACGGGAAACATGGACAAAGACTGCTGGCAAAGACATCTGCAGCATGCACATATTCTGAGCAGAAGGAGAGTGAGGTTTAGGGAGCTGCTGCCCAGGCTAGAGAAATACAGGGTTTGTTTCTTTTTTTGTGACAAAGAATTGGGACAGGAGAATTGTAGCTGTTGAGCTGCTCCACTTGACTTTTTCCCCTGTGAGAAAAGGTTGGGCTGGAAGGGAGAGAACAGGCTTTTCTGTTTGAAAAAAACCTTCTTAAATGCCCAAGTTTGTGTGTGTGTGGGGAAGAAAGCACGTTCTGAACAATAAGTTTTATATTGGGAGTTGGCACAGTTTTCATGACTTTTGGAAGTGCACAGGAGTGCTGTATGCTGTGTGAGGTTTTGTATTTGGCACTTGCCATACCTGTGCATGTATGAATGGCTGCATACATCGTTTTGGTTTTGTCCAGTGTGAAATTGAGCATGAGGCGTGCGAGCGTGCAGCACTTTTATGTAAAAGCAGCACTGTATGACTTACACAAATAAATATATTTAATGAAGATGTAGGAGGAAGTCTCCTTGGCTTTTTTCCCCTATTGGTTTACAGTATGTGAAAATACAACTCTCACTAGGAGTTTTTCTTATAAACAGGTTGAAATATGTACTATTTTAGTGCACCAAGTTTTCTGCAAAATTGGTTATTTGTCATTATATATATCTTAGTGTTGCCTGCATGCTTATAAATATAATTAGAACACAGTAGCCTTAAGGCATTTGCACAAGTAGCAGGGATTAATACTTACTTGAAGAAAGACCTTGTGCTTTAGATAACCCTTCTCACTCTGTCCGTTTTGTTTATGATGAGATGACTTGGCCAAGGCCCTGCAGCAGGTGAGTAAGTGGCAGAGGTTGAAGTAAAATCTGGGTCCTGGGCTCCAGACCAGCTGCTGACCCTTGGTAGAGGCATTTCTTCCACTTCTCATCCTAGAGTGACCTCTGTGGAGTTTTCCTGCTCCTACACATAAAAAAAGAGTTCATAGGGTAAATATGTACCACCGTTTCCATAATAGAAGTCAGAAAACCCAAAATATTTCATAGGGTAGATTAAGATGAGGCAGACTTGGATGTATTACTGCTGGACTCTCTATAGGATGAGTATGGCTCCTTGAAGCTTGACTGGAAAAGTTGTTTTCTGCAGAGGTGTATAGAAGATGTACAAGACATCTAAAGTTTTCTTACTGTTGTTTTCATAGTGGGGTGAATCTGTTTTACAATGTCTTACAGGCCCAATTAAAGCATCTTCCTTTAAATTAAACAGGAAATCTACTATTAACTTTACAAGGTGGGAACTAGGCCCCTGTTATTAGTAAAAGCTTTATATTGTAGCCTACATCTATTCTGTAAGTGCAGCTGGAAAATACAGGGAATAAAATACTTGGATTGATCAAAAAATGAAGAACATGTCCTTAGAGCTGAACATTGAACGGATTATTTTGTATTGTTAAAGACAAATGGGTCAATTAATTTCCTGATACGTATGAGTAGCTCTCCAAGCAGTGTCTAACTGTCTGGTTGCTGGATACTGGACATTTGAGTAGGAAAAAATACATATTTTGAATTCATCATCGATGTATTTGTTGTGGTTTGTTTGATGTCCTTTGTTAAAAGCATCAATTTGAGATTATTGCTTGCAGTAAAAAACTTATAGGATGTTTTACACTGCTTTTGTGTTGGGAGGAAGAATATTTTCTCTAGAGTAATTATACTTGCTGGAAGTAGAAATATCTATAATGTTGTGTATATATAATCTGCTGAGTCTGCTCTGCATCTCAGTTACTAGAGAGGGCAACCTGTATGATTTCGAGATAGAAATAGAGCTCAGCACAACAGCTGTTTTGAAACTCATTTTTAAAACTTAGTCTTTAACTTTGTAATTAAGTTAGCTTGAAGTTTGCAGTTCCTGTGCTCATTTCACTCTCTGAAAAGGGGAGGAATGTTTTAGTCCCTAAGTTACTGTAACATTCTTCACTTATTCATTATTCTTTAGACACCTGAAACCAACTTAAAAGAGGCGGAGATGTGCAATGGTGTAACTTTCAAGTGCTTTCTTTTTAAATAAAAACACTAATAATGTGTGTAAATATGTGCTGTATTTTTTCACTGTCCGTTTTTTTGACCTGCTATCAGTACATTCAGTATTCTAAAGGAAACAGTAAATTTAGTTTGTTCAGAGTTGCAGTTTTCACTGCCCAGAGCTACCGAACAATTTGATTTCCCACGTTGTAACGCTCCACCTAGCATGGAGGGGGTCAAAAAAATGATTGAAATTGTATTGTACAGTGCAAAATGTACATATTTTTTGTACTGTTTGTTTGTTGGGTTGGGGTTTGTTTTTTGGTTTTTGGGTTTGGTTTTTTTTTGGGGGGGGGCAGGCAACCGTGTTTAATCATTGTGTTATATTATACTACACTCATCCAATTTTATTAAAAGCCACCAGTGAAGATGCAATGTTTATGATCCCTGGGCCTGCAAAGATGACAGTCATTACTTTGCAGGCTTCAGTAAGGCAGAAGTTCCCAACTTTCACCAGTGGCTTTATCAAAGCTCTGCAGATGTCCCAGAAAACAAGACTCCAAGGACTGGATGTACTAATTCAAATGAATCTTTTCCTTCCTCCCCTCAAAACTGTTTTGATCTTAAATTAAGTTTTTGCGGAGGTGAAGTCATACTTTATTTTCTAATGAAAAGCAGATGAGTGACATTAAAAAAAAAAAGAAAGAAAGAAAGGAGAAAGCTGAAGGTAGTCAAAGAAAGGATTGAATGAACAAAACACTGTGGAAGACTTAAAACAACTCAGCAATTTAAGCCACTGAAGAATGCACATTGCGTATTCACTGCAAAAATACTTGCACTGTCAACATCTACAATGAGAGCTTAGTTTGAAAGAGGACCTTTTTTGGTTGTGTTTCCCCTTGGTTAACAGAATATTTATGCTGATCCTGGTGTTTTATAGAGAGATTAACCAAAAAAAACCCACCCTAGTAGTTGTTGGAGAAAGGTCTCTGGAATAATTTGAACAATACAAATTAACATCTGCTTCAAAAAGATCTGGCGAGGAAATACTACTGAGGGCAGAAAAAAATCTGTCGTTGAACATGCTGTTTTTATTCTTCCGTGGGTGGGTTGATACTTATTTTTGGCAGTTTAACTGAGCTGTTATCACGATTCATACATCTGTTTGTTTGCATCTTTGCTGTTAATTATTGTGTGACACTAAAGTTTGTGGAGTTACTCACTGTTTATAGTTTTTAGGCTTGATAGTAAATATTGTGTGGTGAGCTTCTGTGAAATACTGCTTCCACTTGGAGAAAAAAAATCTCAAAAAGCCTGTGCCTAGTTTGAGGGGTTTTTCTGGACATGTTTCATTCTGGTATGATTTAAAGCAATTAATAAAAAGCATGATATTATGTCAGTAATTTACAGTGTTAAACATTTGTCCAGACAGCTGCATGGGGAGGATCAAATCTTACTTCCTTAAAATCATATTCAATCAATTCTTGTTTGAGAACTTCTTTATGATTGTCTCTTGAATTTTCTTTGGCAATAATCTCATTTTCTGACAGTTTTTTTTCCCTGTGACAGTTTCTCTATCCTTGTCTTAACTGCAAAAAACTTCCATGGCAATGTTGCCTCTCCCACAGAGCAAATGTGGATAGCTTATTTGGCATTGGTTTTGTCTAGCTCAAGATGCTAATTGAAAGTGTGGTTTCATATTATCTCTTCTCCAGAGTCCCCACACCAGGGCAATCCTTGGTTCACAGGTGTCACTCAATCACTGATCTCTCTTTCTAGTCATTAAACTTTAAGAGGTCCTGTAGGTCTGGGTAACAAACAAAAGTAAAACTGGCTCAATGCCTGTGAAACTGTAAGAGACAGTTTCTGCTGGAAAATAACATCGTGCCTTCTTCATTTCTCTGCCAATCATATTACTCATAGAAAACATGATAGAAAAATAACATAAAATTCACCATGAATCCTTCCAGATTGCATTTTATAAGACTTTTTTTAAAAAAAACCCCACTGTTTTAATCTTCCCTACATTCCATGCTGAAACCTCCCTGATGCCACATCATAACTCTGTGGGGCGGCAGGCAGTCTGCACCACGCAGTGAGTTTGGAGACCCAGGGGGTTCAGGTGACGCAGGTTGTCCCCCTTCCAAGGGAAATACATGGAAGTGGTTTTGCTGGGCACTTGCAGGTGGATTTCTGAGTCATCCTGGTGGCTCCAGCTGCTGAAAATGCCACTGACATCCCTTCGTACCTTCCAGACTGCCCCGTGCGCAGGCAGAGGCTGTGGCACCTGGGGCCAGGAGCCTAGCCGGATAAAGGCTTAAGCATTAGAGATGGTAAAAACATCATGTGGTGCTCAGCAAACGGCAGGCAGCAGTTTTCTTGGTGCTTAGGTTGCTGAATATTGAGATTAGTTTGGAAGAACAATTTACCATCCATCTACAAAGCTGTCAGTCTTAGGAGCTGTCAAGCTGTGATCCTTTCTGCTTCTCCTGGGTGCTTCTTCCTTAGGCAAGATGGGATTTGGAAACATAAAAGGAAAATTAAATAGGTTCCTGAAATAGATTGCATTAAATATATTCAGAATTGGTTTTGAAAAATGGCACATTAGATATATTAACACAATTTTTCCTATGAAGGTTGTTTCAGTCATAAATATTTTGCAGCAGTTGGCATACTTTCCTCACTGAGGTCTTGGCACTGCAAATTCATGAGTGTCTTGTTACAGCCCAGTGCACAGATATCTCTGAACAGTAGAAGAGCACTGTCTCCTTCTGATTAAGATTTTCACCTAGGGATATGAATGCTGTTAGAAGAAATTTACCATCAAAATAACTAAGATCTTTTGGATATGCAGAAGAAAATCCCCTCCTATAAAGCTGCTCTTTGGATAACTAGAATCAGGACTTTGAATGTCTGAATGATTTGAAACACGATTACCCAAGTCATAACCTCTCCCTTCGTGGTCAGTCCTTTTAGCTGCAGTCACTGAGCATAAATAAACTTTCCAGGGTAAGCAGCAGGTTTCATTGGTAGTGTGACTGTCTTTGGCATCCGTTGCGTTTGTGGCCAAGCCTTGCTTTAGGTGGCCTTCTCCAATGGTGCAGTTACTGCTTGCCGATTTCAGTATTTAGTTAGCCCTGCTTGGGTTGTCATGGGCTTGGTTTTAGTTACGCGATTCCTTGGTGCCGGTATAGCTGATAAGGCAGTGATAAACGTGTTGCCTGTTAGATAATCATTTAAACAGAAACAGGTTAAAACTGTCTCGGTGGCTGGATCTGTACGTGTTGATATACCAGTAAATGTTTGAATACTTCTTTCATATAGGAACTAGAGTGAGGGCTTTCTGTAAAGGAATTAGCCAGAGTTTGTGTATGTATTTTTCCGAGTACAGTTTGCTTACAAGAACCACGTTAATCTCTCTATTTGGGGTGCTATTCTATTTCCAATTATTTCTAGAAAGTAAAGTCTAGGTGTGTGGTAGATTAAAAAACCAAAACCGAACAAAGAAACAACAACAAAACACCCTGAAAATCCCCGCCCCCCAACATCAAAACAAACAGAAAAGCCCAACTTGAAATTAATAATGTTATTTTTTATTGCTTTCAAAATAACACAGTTTCAGCAAGTTCCTGGGTTTTTTTCCCTGCTGTTGATCGATACCCTTTTGCTTCATTTTCAGGCTGAGGAATCCTGTAAATGCAATGGCTGGAAGAACCCCAACCCGCCCCCCACGCCCCCCCGGGCAGAGCTGCAGCAGGCGGTGGTCAGCCTCGCAGAGCCCTGCCGCAGCTGCAGCCACGCGCTGGGTAAGCTTTGGCCTTTCTCCTGCGATCCACTGGCTTACACCCAGAAGTCTCCACTCTTGCGAGATGAAAAGTCAAGGTGCCATGCCAAGACCTAGAAATGGGGGTTACGATTGGACATAAATGTCAATAGCTTAGATTAAAATATGCCAGGAATATCCTAAAATGAGTTTTGAAGAAATTGAACTAAGGTACAACTTTAAACAACCCACACATCTTAAGTTGTTAAAATGCAAAAGCACTGTTAAGCCACCCATAACAATTTTAATACTTTGTGTAACGTATGCATTAACCTCACAGTGCTTTATCTGCCAGCTGCCTTGCAACAGGGATGACTCTCTCCTGCAGGCTGTGTTACGTTTTCTTACTATAGAATAAACTATAAAATATTCTTGAATGCTGCTAAAGGAGGTACTTTTACCTACAAAAAGAACTGTGCCTTTTCCGTGTTGCAGCAAAGAGTACTGTGGTTGTACGTGTTAGCATCGTCTAAGTTAGTGTGCAGACAGCTTGCATGTCTTGGAAGCAACTGCTCAAAATCAACTGTTAAATACTGTTGTGTGTGGGGGGAGTGTTTCTTCAGACTAATAATAAATAATGATTTGTTACGCACATAGCCTGAAAAAGAGTGAATCACTGTATTAGTTTTTTAAGAATTTATGCTTACCCAAAATAAAAGGTGATGACTTTTTCCGTATACATTAGCCAATATTGACTAAAAATTGAGCTAAAATAAAATTCAGAACTAATTGAGAAGAAGCAGTTGCTATTTAATTTTTTTTGTTGATTTGTCAATTTGTCCAAAACTTAGGACAGTGAAATAAGAAAAAGGAAAACTAAAACCTTCACAATCAATTGTTTATGTTTTTACTTTTGAAAGTAATATTGTACTCTGTGTGGAATACCTTTTTTTTAAAAATTAGGATTTATTTCTATTTCTGCTCTCTTTTTATGCTTTCATTACATTTGGTCTATTTCTGGGCTTTTCACCAGATTTCTTTCGTTTCCTGGTATCCTAAATCTCTGGGTTTGCTTGTAGGAGAAGATTAACGCAAATGCGTGGTATCACAGAAAGTTCGGTTGCTGTAGCCAAGTTAGTTTCAACCTTTCATCATGCAGCTTCTCTGTGCTGCTTTTGGCTTTGCAGTTAGGGTAGCTTGTGTTACCCAGCCCTTTCATTCCTGGCCTTTGAAGAAAGAGATTTTTCTTTTTTTTTTTTCCCCTTCTTTAAATCTTATGAGATGTTGTTGTCT